GCGATTTGGTGTTTGCCAAAGTGCGCGGCTACAAACCATGGCCGGCGGTGATTACCCATGATGTTAATAGGAAGAAGCAGTACACTGTGAGCTTTTATGGCTCGGGACAGATCGGCTACATACTACTGAAAAACCTCACGCCATACCTCAAGCTTAAGGAAGAGTATTCCACTGAACATCACCTGAAGCAAGCCGATTTCCGCAGGGCTATGATTGCAATTGATGAAGTGGCCGAGAAGGCGACCACTGTGCAACAAGAAACTGCAAACAACCAAAAGCAATCACACCCAGCAAACGTAAGTAAATCAGTTCAAGAAGACAATTTAGAATACAATTCAAAATACAAAATGTTTTCGACACAGAATAAAGAAAATGATATGCTGTTGCTGTATATGCCTCCATCCAAAGTCTTCGGCATCAACATCAACTACAACAAGCCGAAGAGATTTGAAAATGCCGCTGCGGAGCAGTCCTGGATGGATGAGTCGCGTAAAGAGGCCAATCTACTGAAGCTCCAGTTGTTGTCAGGACAAAAAGATCCCAGATCGCTTCCAGGACGTGTCGTCGCTGAACCCTCTTCCAACGAGACGACCAAGCAGGAAGAAGTGAAACTACGAGAGGAGATCAAAAAACAGGAGACAGCTATGTTTATAGAGCGGGACTTAATTCAGCTAACCGCAGTGGTCCGCTGCTGCTTGAACCAGCGTCGAGCTAATGTGAGCCGTTGCTTTACGAACCTGAAGCTATTAAAAAAATTGGATGTGACCAAGCTAATGCTGCTGCGTAATCCACAAAGTGTGGAAACGATCCGTTCGATGCGACGATATGTGGGAAATTTGAATGTCTGGAAGATGGACGCCTCCGATGAGGCTGCGTTCAATGCACAGGCCAAAATCATTCGTCAAAAGGCCACGATCATTTACGAGCGCTTCCAAACGGTGCTCAACTTAGCTGAGGGGGAAGACTTCTGGCCAGATTTCTGCAATGAGGTCAAAATTTACAAGGCCAACACTAAAAACATCAATCCAAATCTACGCAACGCCATGGACGAAGCCACGTACTACAACCTCGTTGAAGCCAAACAAGGGAATACCCCAGCTTCCGCTAAAGAATAGGAAAACAAACCATTCAATTAAAGGTAAAAGCCTCCGACAAATTAATATGATATTTTTTTTAATTTATTTGTTTCACAGCCCAAAAAGACGATTTCCCAAAGGGCAAACTTCTATTGCTAACTTCACAAAATTACCACAACATGCACATGAATATCAAGTTCCTTATTTGACTTAGTTTAGACGATGGACCATCAACATCCCGCCGAACCAATTAACTCTAATCCACATACGAAGTACAATGTGTTTGATTAACAATAAATAAAGCTATGGATGGTACATGCTTGCATTTAAATCTGTTCGGGTCTGGTTCTGGGTCTGGTTTGTCTCGCGCCTAATGTTTCGAACTGCATCTTTCCTTTACTCTTTTGCGCCTTCCTTGAGTTTTCCTAACGCTTTTAGCCAAGTTGTTCGTCGGGATTAGCCCATCGGAGGCTCTCTCCTACCGATCTGTGCATACTCCGCAGACTCTCCAATGCAATATTCCCCTAGCGTCTCTCCTTCTTGGAGCACATGGCCTTCTCCTTGCGATTTATCCGCGAAAAGGAAAAACTGTTGCTTGTATATACAATACATAATCCACTTAGGAATCTGATTTAAGAAAAAAGGCACAAATAACTAGAATCGAAATGGCTTTCAACGAGCTCCGTTCCGTTCCGGAGAGTCACAGTTCCACGATATCGTTGCTAATGGTGCTCCAAGAAATGCACTATACTTCAGAAACCGAAGCCCATATAGCTCAGCTCTCTAAGATGTACATCAATCTTCTAATGTATTAAGTTAAGACAGTTAAGACTGTTTTAAGACATTGACGGTGCCTTTTTTATTAAATTTGGGTTTTATGCGTTTGACCTATAGCCTATAGCCTTTGCTTCTACACAACATCGATTTCGATGGCCGTTTAAAGAGGTTTGACCTATGGCCACCTTCGGTATACTTTCAGGTATTCCTGTGACCAACACAGCATCCTAAGAGCGTCTCCTGCTTTCTGGCTTTTAATCAGTCAGGCCTCTCTGTCTGGCAAGGGTATGCCAAAGCAGCTCCACGCTTGCAACAGTCCATGTAATCATTTCCCAGCTGCCATAAGACTGGCAAAAATCTGCAACGAGTAAGAAGGCAGTTGAGTCAATAGCTCAGCGGATAAACAGGTAATAAATAGATGCTAGAGGCTAATTCCCTTCTCCAACAGCTTCCAGAATTCGCCACATAACACATATCGCCATAATGCTGCACATAACGCCAAGAGAGCGTCACCTGGAGCAGGGTCTCTTTGCCCGCGAAATGGTGGACATGCAGTGCAGCAGGGAGATGCGTAAAGGGAAAATACCTTTGATTACCATTCGTTTGGATTTCCCCGCACAAGTCTATCATTATGCGACTGACTCGGATCCTTTTTAGAGTGGGAAATATCTTGTTGAGTTTCTCCTGGGAGCTGCCATTCTCGTATATCATTGATGGACATGGAATATGTTTGTCAATCTCTTTAAAAACGAATAGATTGAACAAAAATGTACATACATGTTCCTTTAGTCCTTTATGTATCGATCAAATGTGTGCCAATGGATAAAGTTGTTCTTCTGGGTATCATACATGAAGAGCCTTATATTATAAGCCATGAGCTGCGAGATTGCATGCCTTTCTCCATAGCGTCTTCAGCAATCTGTAGAAAAGCGGTGGCTCCGCGCCATGAGCTGAGCAACGGCTGCGCGTGACAGGCGCACTTCATCCGTCTGGACCTCTGGCAACTACATCTTTAACATTCAGCAGCTTCGCAAAATGGCAAAATAGCTGCTTAGCTGTTTCATTGAAGACATCTCGTGGGTTCCAGTTGACGTGACGGTAGGCAATGGGCGCTTTTATTGAGCCCGGCACAAAAACGCCGGTGAGGAACACACAAACGGTTGGCCAATGGGTCGTCCTAAAACGATACTTTATTTAATTACGGCTAAGAGTATATCATAAAAAACTACTCACAAATGTGGACACTCAATCGATTTCTTCTTTTACCAATATCTTCCAGAAAGTTCCAGAGCCATCCGCCACCAGTGTTGGGTAACGCACGATTCTGTACCAGCAAGTACGCATGCTGCAACACTTGAGTCAGTCTTCGTCAACCTGCTGCTTGTGTTATTTGTACATTTTATTCATAAACAATTGAAATTCAATGCATTCGAAAGCTCTTTATGAGATCCAGCGACTCAAATAAAAAAATGTACAAAATCCATGACAGGAAATCATACATATCTTCATTATTCATATACCAGAAAATGTATCATTATTTTTATAAACTGTATGGAACATTTTTTATGGAACATCATTACCATGTTCATATACATACGAGCCATTCTGAATATTAGTTGCTAGTCATAAGACCCGTACACCATGTTTTAGTTCGTGGAATTTTAGCGATTTTGCGTTTTATTGAATTTCAAAATTGAATGGATCGAAGGCTGTATGTAATTAGTGATAAGTAATTGTTAAGTGGTTGTTGTTGAGCGGAAACATTCGTTCTAGGTTCGCTTCATATCCAAGTGCTGCAGAATCGCTACAGTCTCCCTGGAGAATATATTCAGTTTTCCGGCTGATGATCTTGACGTGTTTACCATGCAGACCAGTCCAAATGGCAATGAGAAGAGCGGCCAAGTACATCAACAGAAGATTGTTGACGTTTGCTCCAATCCAAGCAAACGCTACGAGGACCAAGCTTATCATGACCACGAGCTCTGGCGTTCTGTGTGTGTTCGCAATTCATACAATTAGAAGTGTCAAAGACAACCATCAAGGGTACTATCGGTGATTTCGATGAAACAGATATATTCTTATTTTCGTCGATGAAAAGGCGGCTAGAAAAATGCAATAATGAAGACAAATTGAATCTAATTAAGGAGCCGGTTATATTGATATTTAATTTATTCATTTCTAGGAGATAAAGAACATGTTTATTGGATTTATGTTATGTAAGAACGGTTTTATCCAATACTGAGGAGATTTCGCAGTACATTGTCGTCCTGCAGCACCCACAAATAGTAAATTCCGGCTTCTTTTCATACAATATTTGAATTTTAACTGGTTTTATTTGTAAGCAAATACATAACAGTGTAACCTTAGAGCATGCACATCTGGTCACACCGGCTGCCACGCAGTACTAAGCTTAAGTCTTTCATCTGTGGGTACGTATGGAAATCTAGATCTAGGGGAGAAAGAGGACAAAAGAATTACAGCCAAGGCTCTAACGTGTGTGTTCGTTTCTTGCATGAGAGCTCACAGACAATGAAAAGGGAATTGTGCAATTAGAAAACACCTGCTTAGGCAGTCAGTGAAGTCAGAAGGTCAGGCATATATTAGCATTATAAATACGAGAATTATTAAAATAGCACAATCGCTGTTATAAAACAGCCAAACATATTTTGAAATTTTGTTTCGTTTCCACTGATAGTAAATGTATCGCTTGCTCGCGCCGATATGAGTCAAATATCGGACGACGACGATCCAAAACTTTTCTTTACATATAATACAGAGCTAATAAGAAAAATAAGAATATTAAATTGGTACAGAAGGAAAAAAGGGAAATGCTTCTATGTTTTCCCACTGAAATAAGCTTTTATTTTATGTTTTTATTTTATTTATGTTCACAAAACATCCTTGGTCTTTACGGAAAACGCCTGTATAAATGTTAGTTATTATATACTGATAGGTGTGTTATGCACCAGACCTTTATTATATGTATAAAAAATATAAATTAAAATTATCTTTGAAATGCAAGCTTTTAATTTTCCTTTTTCCACATTCCTCAATGATGAAAACAGCGGATGAAACAAACTCGGATTAATCGGGATAGTGGCAGAGAAACGATAACGATTTTTTGAGAGCCGGACATAAAAAACCTCCCCAAGCATTCCATTCGTCACGTCGAGATTGTGATTGTGATTAACAGAGACAAACGTGTGTAAAGCAAGATGAATTCTTTATCGAAAATGGCTAAGCAAGAAACTAGCAAATCGTTCAAAGTTGGCGATTTGGTGTTTGCCAAAGTGCGCGGCTACAAACCATGGCCGGCGGTGATTACCCATGATGTTAATAGGAAGAAGCAGTACACTGTGAGCTTTTATGGCTCGGGACAGATCGGCTACATACTACTGAAAAACCTCACGCCATACCTCAAGCTTAAGGAAGAGTATTCCACTGAACATCACCTGAAGCAAGCCGATTTCCGCAGGGCTATGATTGCAATTGATGAAGTGGCCGAGAAGGCGACCACTGTGCAACAAGAAACTGCAAACAACCAAAAGCAATCACACCCAGCAAACGTAAGTAAATCAGTTCAAGAAGACAATTTAGAATACAATTCAAAATACAAAATGTTTTCGAACCAGGATAAAGAAAATGATATGCTGTTGCTGTATATGCCTCCATCCAAAGTCTTCGGCATCAACATCAACTACAACAAGCCGAAGAGATTTGAAAATGCCGCTGCGGAGCAGTCCTGGATGGATGAGTCGCGTAAAGAGGCCAATCTACTGAAGCTCCAGTTGTTGTCAGGACAAAAAGATCCCAGATCGCTTCCAGGACGTGTCGTCGCTGAACCCTCTTCCAACGAGACGACCAAGCAGGAAGAAGTGAAACTACGAGAGGAGATCAAACGAGGGGGAACGTTGTGAGTTGCTGCGGACACCGCAACTCTACGGTTATACCCGATACTAAGTCAGTATGGCTCTCCTCCGGCAGACGCCGCTAATATTTAACGACACGACAAAGAGTGCGTGCGAGAGAGACAGAAAATCAGTCTGAGCGTGACGTCGGGCGCTGCGTAGCCAGTGCAAATTGATTTGCTCCTTTTGGCTATGAAAATGATCTGATCTGATCCAGATTCAGCAACCTGATAGATATGGTTATTATCTATGATTCTGCGTTTTTAGTTTTCTCAAATCTGCAATATTGTGGATGCAACAGATTTTCGTCCTTTGTGGGGGCGGATGGGGGTGGGGCGAAATTCTGAGATATACGTTTTATAGTGTCATCTTAAAGGAGTGTGTGTACCAAATTTGGTTACTCTAGCCTTAATAGTCTCTGAGATTTGTGGTTGCCTCAGATTTTCGTCCTTTGCGGGGGCGGAAGGGGGTGTGGCGAAATTTGGACAGGAAACGGTCAAGGTCCGATATCACAGGAGTGTGGATACCAAATTTGGTTGCTCTGGCTTTTATAGGTTCTGAGATCCTTGAACTCATATTTTGCAATTGGCAAAACCGACCATGAAACCTGTGTGTTAGAGTGAGACAGAGCGAGAAAGAGTGAAATTGTTTTCGTGATTCTGGCTGTAATAATTATACGATCTGGTTCAGATTTTGCACTCTAGAAGATATAGTCATCTTCTACGATTCTGCGTTTTTAGTTTTCTCGTATCGTCAAAATTGTGGATGCCACAGATTTTCGCCCTTTGTGGGGGCGGAAGTGGGCGGGGCAAAGTTTTGAAATATTTTTGGAGCAGTGACATATCACAGAAGTCTGGATCCAAAACATCGTTGCTCTAGCTCTTATAGTCTTTGAGCATTAGGCGCTGAAGGGGACGGACAGACGGACAGACGGACAGACGGACAGACGGACAGACGGACGGACGGACAGACGGACAGACGGACAGACGGACAGACAGACATGGCTCAATCGACTCGGCTATTGATGCTGATCAAGAATATATATACTTTATGGGGTCGGAAACGATTCCTTCTGGACGTTACACACATCCACTTTTACCACAAATCTAATATACCCCAATACTCATTTTGAGTATCGGGTATAAAAACAGGAGACAGCTATGTTTATAGAGCGGGACTTAATTCAGCTAACCGCAGTGGTCCGCTGCTGCTTGAACCAGCGTCGAGCTAATGTGAGCCGTTGCTTTACGAACCTGAAGCTATTAAAAAAATTGGATGTGACCAAGCTAATGCTGCTGCGTAATCCACAAAGTGTGGAAACGATCCGTTCGATGCGACGATATGTGGGAAATTTGAATGTCTGGAAGATGGACGCCTCCGATGAGGCTGCGTTCAATGCACAGGCCAAAATCATTCGTCAAAAGGCCACGATCATTTACGAGCGCTTCCAAACGGTGCTCAACTTAGCTGAGGGGGAAGACTTCTGGCCAGATTTCTGCAATGAGGTCAAAATTTACAAGGCCAACACTAAAAACATCAATCCAAATCTACGCAACGCCATGGACGAAGCCACGTACTACAACCTCGTTGAAGCCAAACAAGGGAATACCCCAGCTCCCGCTAAAGAATAGGAAAACAAACCATTCAATTAAAGGTAAAAGCCTCCGACAAATTAATATGATATTTTTTTAATTTATTTGTTTCACAGCCCAAAAAGACGACTTCCCAAAGGGCAAACTTCTATTGCTAACTTCACAAAATTACCACAACATGCACATGAATATCAAGTTCCTTATTTGACTTAGTTTAGACGATGGACCATCAACATCCCGCCGAACCAATTAACTCTAATCCACATACGAAGTACAATGTGTTTGATTAACAATAAATAAAGCTATGGATGGTACATGCTTGCATTTAAATCTGTTCGGGTCTGGTTCTGGGTCTGGTTTGTCTCGCGCCTAATGTTTCGAACTGCATCTTTCCTTTACTCTTTTGCGCCTTCCTTGAGTTTTCCTAACGCTTTTAGCCAAGTTGTTCGTCGGGATTAGCCCATCGGAGGCTCTCTCCTACTGATCTGTGCATACTCCGCAGACTCTCCAATGCAATATTCCCCTAGCGTCTCTCCTTCTTGGAGCGCATGGCCTTCTCCTTGCGATTTATCCGCGAAAAGGAAAAACTGTTGCTTGTATATACAATACATAATCCACTTAGGAATCTGATGTAAGAAAAAAGGCACAAATAACTAGAATCGAAATGGCTTTCAACGAGCTCCGTTCCGTTCCGGAGAGTCACAGTTCCACGATATCGTTGCTAATGGTGCTCCAAGAAATGCACTATACTTCAGAAACCGATGCCCATATAGCTCAGCTCTCTAAGATGTACATCAATCTTCTAATGTATTAAGTTAAGACATTGTTTTAAGACATTGACGGTGCCTTTTTTATTAAATTTGGGTTTTATGCGTTTGACCTATAGCCTATAGCCTTTGCTTCTACACAACATCGATTTCGATGGCCGTTTAAAGAGGTTTGACCTATGGCCACCTTCGGTATACTTTCAGGTATTCCTGTGACCAACACAGCATCCTAAGAGCGTCTCCTGCTTTCTGGCTTTTAATCAGTCAGGCCTCTCTGTCTGGCAAGGGTATGCCAAAGCAGCTCCACGCTTGCAACAGTCCATGTAATCATTTCCCAGCTGCCATAAGACTGGCAAAAATCTGCAACGAGTAAGAAGGCAGTTGAGTCAATAGCTCAGCGGATAAACAGGTAATAAATAGATGCTTGAGGCTAATTCCCTTCTCCAACAGCTTCCAGAATTCGCCACATAACACATATCGCCATAATGCTGCACATAACGCCAAGAGAGCGTCACCTGGAGCAGGGTCTCTTTGCCCGCGAAATGGTGGACATGCAGTGCAGCAGGGAGATGCGTAAAGGGAAAATACCTTTGATTACCATTCCTTTGGATTTCCCCGCACAAGTCTATCATTATGCGACTGACTCGGATCCTTTTTAGAGTGGGAAATATCTTGTTGAGTTTCTCCTGGGAGCTGCCATTCTCGTATATCATTGATGGACATGGAATATGTTTGTCAATCTCTTTAAAAACGAATAGATTGAACAAAAATGTACATACATGTTCCTTTAGTCCTTTATGTATCGATCAAATGTGTGCCAATGGATAAAGTTGTTCTTCTGGGTATCATACATGAAGAGCCTTATATTATAAGCCATGAGCTGCGAGATTGCATGCCTTTCTCCATAGCGTCTTCAGCAATCTGTAGAAAAGCGGGGGCTCCGCGCCATGAGCTGAGCAACGGCTGCGCGTGACAGGCGCACTTCATCCGTCTGGACCTCTGGCAACTACATCTTTAACATTCAGCAGCTTCGCAAAATGGCAAAATAGCTGCTTAGCTGTTTCATTGAAGACATCTCGTGGGTTCCAGTTGACGTGACGGTAGGCAATGGGCGCTTTTATTGAGCCTGGCACAAAAACGCCGGTGAGGAACACACAAACGGTTGGCCAATGGGTCGTCCTAAAACGGTACTTTATTTAATTACGGCTAAGAGTATATCATAAAAAACTACTCACAAATGTGGACACTCAATCGATTTCTTCTTTTACCAATATCTTCCAGAAAGTTCCAGAGCCATCCGCCACCAGTGTTGGGTAACGCACGATTCTGTACCAGCTTGTACGCATGCTGCAACACTTGAGTCAGTCTTCGTCAACCTGCTGCTTGTGTTATTTGTACATTTTATTCATAAACAATTGAAATTCAATGCATTCGAAAGCTCTTTATGAGATCCAGCGACTCAAATAAAAAAATGTACAAAATCCATGACAGGAAATCATACATATCTTCATTATTCATATACCAGAAAATGTATCATTATTTTTATAAACTGTATGGAACATTTTTTATGGAACATCATTACCATGTTCATATACATACGAGCCATTCTGAATATTAGTTGCTAGTCATAAGACCCGTACACCATGTTTTAGTTCGTGGAATTTTAGCGATTTTGCGTTTTATTGAATTTCAAAATTGAATGGATCGAAGGCTGTATGTAATTAGTGATAAGTAATTGTTAAGTGGTTGTTGTTGAGCGGAAACATTCGTTCTAGGTTCGCTTCATATCCAAGTGCTGCAGAATCGCTACAGTCTCCCTGGAGAATATATTCAGTTTTCCGGCTGATGATCTTGACGTGTTTACCATGCAGACCAGTCCAAATGGCAATGAGAAGAGCGGCCAAGTACATCAACAGAAGATTGTTGACGTTTGCTCCAATCCAAGCAAACGCTACGAGGACCAAGCTTATCATGACCACGAGCTCTGGCGTTCTGTGTGTGTTCGCAATTCATACAATTAGAAGTGTCAAAGACAACCATCAAGGGTACTATCGGTGATTTCGATGAAACAGATATATTCTTATTTTCGTCGATGAAAAGGCGGCTAGAAAAATGCAATAATGAAGACAAATTGAATCTAATTAAGGAGCCGGTTATATTGATATTTAATTTATTCATTTCTAGGAGATAAAGAACATGTTTATTGGATTTATGTTATGTAAGAACGGTTTTATCCAATACTGAGGAGATTTCGCAGTACATTGTCGTCCTGCAGCACCCACAAATAGTAAATTCCGGCTTCTTTTCATACAATATTTGAATTTTAACTGGTTTTATTTGTAAGCAAATACATAACAGTGTAACCTTAGAGCATGCACATCTGGTCACACCGGCTGCCACGCAGTACTAAGCTTAAGTCTTTCATCTGTGGGTACGTATGGAAATCTAGATCTAGGGGAGAAAGAGGACAAAAGAATTACAGCCAAGGCTCTAACGTGTGTGTTCGTTTCTTGCATGAGAGCTCACAGACAATGAAAAGGGAATTGTGCAATTAGAAAACACCTGCTTAGGCAGTCAGTGAAGTCAGAAGGTCAGGCATATATTAGCATTATAAATACGAGAATTATTAAAATAGCACAATCGCTGTTATAAAACAGCCAAACATATTTTGAAATTTTGTTTCGTTTCCACTGATAGTAAATGTATCGCTTGCTCGCGCCGATATGAGTCAAATATCGGACGACGACGATCCAAAACTTTTCTTTACATATAATACAGAGCTAATAAGAAAAATAAGAATGTTAAATTGGTACAGAAGGAAAAAAGGGAAATGCTTCTATGTTTTCCCACTGAAATAAGCTTTTATTTTATGTTTTTATTTTATTTATGTTCACAAAACATCCTTGGACTTTACGGAAAACGCCTGTATAAATGTTAGTTATTATATACTGATAGGTGTGTTATGCACCAGACCTTTATTATATGTATAAAAAATATAAATTAAAATTATCTTTGAAATGCAAGCTTTTAATTTTCCTTTTTCCACATTCCTCAATGATGAAAACAGCGGATGAAACAAACTCGGATTAATCGGGATAGTGGCAGAGAAACGATAACGATTTTTTGAGAGCCGGACATAAAAAAACCTCCCCAAGCATTCCATTCGTCACGTCGAGATTGTGATTGTGATTAACAGAGACAAACGTGTGTAAAGCAAGATGAATTCTTTATCGAAAATGGCTAAGCAAGAAACTAGCAAATCGTTCAAAATTGGCGATTTGGTGTTTGCCAAAGTGCGGGGCTACAAACCATGGCCGGCGGTGATTACCCATGATGTTAATAGGAAGAAGCAGTACACTGTGAGCTTTTATGGCTCGGGACAGATCGGCTACATACTACTGAAAAACCTCACGCCATACCTCAAGCTTAAGGAAGAGTATTCCACTGAACATCACCTAAAGCAAGCCGATTTCCGCAGGGCTATGATTGAAATTGATGAAGTGGCCGAGAAGGCGACCACTGTGCAACAAGAAACTGCAAACAACCAAAAGCAATCACACCCAGCAAACGTAAGTAAATCAGTTCAAGAAGACAATTTAGAATACAATTCAAAATACAAAATGTTTTCGAACCAGGATAAAGAAAATGATATGCTGTTGCTGTATATGCCTCCATCCAAAGTCTTCGGCATCAACATCAACTACAACAAGCCGAAGAGATTTGAAAATGCCGCTGCGGAGCAGTCCTGGATGGATGAGTCGCGTAAAGAGGCCAATCTACTGAAGCTCCAGTTGTTGTCAGGACAAAAAGATCCCAGATCGCTTCCAGGACGTGTCGTCGCTGAACCCTCTTCCAACGAGACGACCAAGCAGGAAGAAGTGAAACTACGAGAGGAGATCAAAAAACAGGAGACAGCTATGTTTATAGAGCGGGACTTAATTCAGCTAACCGCAGTGGTCCGCTGCTGCTTGAACCAGCGTCGAGCTAATGTGAGCCGTTGCTTTACGAACCTGAAGCTATTAAAAAAATTGGATGTGACCAAGCTAATGCTGCTGCGTAATCCACAAAGTGTGGAAACGATCCGTTCGATGCGACGATATGTGGGAAATTTGAATGTCTGGAAGATGGACGCCTCCGATGAGGCTGCGTTCAATGCACAGGCCAAAATCATTCGTCAAAAGGCCACGATCATTTACGAGCGCTTCCAAACGGTGCTCAACTTAGCTGAGGGGGAAGACTTCTGGCCAGATTTCTGCAATGAGGTCAAAATTTACAAGGCCAACACTAAAAACATCAATCCAAATCTACGCAACGCCATGGACGAAGCCACGTACTACAACCTCGTTGAAGCCAAACAAGGGAATACCCCAGCTCCCGCTAAAGAATAGGAAAACAAACCATTCAATTAAAGGTAAAAGCCTCCGACAAATTAATATGATATTTTTTTTAATTTATTTGTTTCACAGCCCAAAAAGACGATTTCCCAAAGGGCAAACTTCTATTGCTAACTTCACAAAATTACCACAACATGCACATGAAT